TGAGATTTTTTGGTATTGGGAGTTCTCTTGCAATGAACTTTTCGTGATTCTTGGAAGTGCATGCAGATTTAATAGTTTGAATAGTGCGATGGATTCGCTCGAGCCATTGGAATGCGAAGTCTGAATGCGGTTTTGTACGTTCTCGTCATTAGTTTTGAAGTTTTCGTTTTACGTATATTTCAGGGTCAATCTGACACAGGGCTGAACTAGAAGAGATGTCCTCTTTGGCACGTTCGGGAAATGTGGCTACAAAAGTGGTAGGTTTATGTTAGTAAAATTTTTATTAGAAAGTTTTGCTATTTTGTGTTCTGGTCTCAAAAACCACAGCCAGCAATGTTATTAAAGGTTAATGCGGGACTTCCGACTTTTCAGTAACCGTTATGGTGACATTTACTTTGATGATTTTATTAAAAAAAGTCCATAAATATTTAAGTAGTCTGCGTTCCCCTATTAGCTTTTTAAGGCAATTATGCGAAGATAGCGTGGAGTTAAGGTGGTTATTTCCGCTGTCGTAAAAACTGCTGTGATCGATTTGCCTTATCTTTTATGCTTCTAGTAGTTTTTCTCTATCACTCTAGGTTAGCCTCTCATGAATCCTCCTCTGAGAACTGGCCGCTGGGGAGAGGGGGTCGTAATCTCAAGGGTCAGCGCCGAATGCTTTGACATTTCAGTTGATAGTGGGAGTGGAGCTATGGAAGTCAAGATGTTAAAAAAATGAAAATTATTATGAGTGTATTCTTTACAGATTTAACTGCTACGTTTAACAGCCCTCTTTTCATGCGAAATCCCCAGAAAAGGGATCGTGCTTGGCCGCGGGGGACGCGGGGAGTATCGCAAAAGTAGGCTCGCTGGGTGCTAAGTTTGATGAACGGACGGAAAGATTCGTGCGTATTTCCCTTTCCAAACCCTAAACAAACATCTGCTTGCATGGATAAAAGCACCTGAAATCAGAATTTACACCTTTCCACCACCTCTGCGTAGGAGCGTAATGCACGGCGCACACTCGGACCAAATCGATCAGTGATAGCCGAGCTCCTCTTTCACTCATTTGAAGGGAAATATGTGTTTGGCACACTGAAGTTTTCGAAGGTGTATCCTCACAATGGCACAGGAGTCGATTTTTCGGGTGGGTCAGAGGGTAGCGCGTCTGTGACCCATCTAAAATATCTCCTGAACTAGTGGGTCTTCAGAAAAACTGTAAAGCTTATTGGAAAGAGAAAAGATGGAGGGGTTTCAGGACGACTTTAATCCTGATGAAATTGCGTTTGAACGAAGCAATCCTCGCGTGAAGCATGGAAACCAGCTCGCGATTTACCCCTAGCCTATCCAAAACCCATCCGGAATATTTCACCAACGGGGGATTGTTCAGTTTGCAACTAGGTAGAATACACAACAGTAGAAACTTTGCCATTGCATGCTGCTCACCTTCCTTAAAAGGTCCGCACCTAAAAGAGACATAAGTTCCTGAAAAGACCCCAGAAC